ATCTATTAGTTTCCATTTAGGATACAGATGTTTCAACCGCTGTACATGTGAAGAAGCTGTCAGAGAACTGTCAGAAATAGAGGAACTCTGCACATACACTTTTTGCCGGCTTGGAATTATTCTTATTTTCATCCTACTTCTTCTTCTTCTTCTTCTTCATCCTCATCCTCATCCTCTTCTTCTGATCTGCACATACACTTAGAGGAGCTCTGCACATACACTTTTTGCCGGCTTGGAATTAATCTTATTTTCATCCTACTTCTTCTTCTTCTTCTTCTTCATCCTCATCCTCATCCTCAGAAGAAGAGGATGAGGATGAGGATGAAGAAGAATAATAAGAAGAAGAAGTAGGATGAAAATAAGAATAATTCCAAGCCGGCAAAAAGTGTATGTGCAGAGCTCCTCTAAGTGTATCTGCAGAGCTCCTCTAAGTGTATCTGCAGAATAGAGGAACTCTGCACATACACTTTTTGCCGGAAACCGCTGTATGGAGGGAATGTCCCAGAACTGTCAGAAATAGTCTATTTCTGACAGTTATGGGACATTCACTCCATACAGCGGTTTCAACCGCTGTATGGAGGGAATGTCATAGAACTGTCAGAAATAGACTATTTCTAACAGTTCTGGGACATTCCTTCCATACAGCGGTTGAAACATTGTATCTATTTGTTTCCATAAATGGATCCATTTATGGAAACAAATAGATACAATGTTTCAACCGCTGTATGGAGTGAGTGTCCCAGAACTGTTAGAAATAGTCTATTTCAGACAGTTCTATGACATTCCCTCCATACAGCTGTTGAAACCGCTGTATGGAGTGAATGTCCCAGAACTGTCAGAAATAGACTATTTCTGACAGTTCTGGGACATTCACTCCATACAGCGGTTGAAAACCGCTGTATGGAGGGAATGTCATAGAACTGTCAGAAATAGACTCTCTGAAGCCTAGAAACCCTTTTAATAAGTTAACTTCGTAGCGAATTAATTCGCATCGAATCGAATTTCATACTGGAATTCGCCGAATCAGCCGAATCGAATTTTTGAGAAATTCGCTCATCTCTACTCATAGCTGAGCTCCTTCATTCCTGTTATCAGTTTGGTTGCCCTTCTCTGCACTTTCTCCAGTTCCCCAATGTTCTTTTTGTGAATTGGTGCCCAAAACTGAACTGCATATTCCAGATGAGGTATTACTAATGATTTATACAAGGGTAAAATGATATCTCTCTATCTGGAGTCTATACCTCTTGCCCTCCAGAGGATTTACCCCCCTTCTTGACCAGGCCATTTTTTGTGATACGGCACTGTATTACTTTAACTGTCCTTTTTTTCCCCCCAAATGGTGCTTTCTTTCAGTGGTATTTGATCGCCTTTGCGTTTTTGTTTTTTTGTGCACTATAAACAAAAAAAAGACCAACAATTTTGAAAAAAACAAAAACAATATTTTTGACTTTTGCTATAAAACATATCCAGTAAAAAAATTTAAAAAAACAAATTTCGTCATAAATGTAGACCAAAATGTATTCTGCTACATATTTTTGCTAAAAAAAATCCCAATACTTGAAAGTTACAGTGTCTACAAATGGCGGTATACAGGTGAAACTCAAAAAATTAGAATATCGTGCAAAAGTTCATTTATTTCAGTAACACAACTTAAAAGGTGAAACTAATATATGAGATAGACTCATTACATGCAAAGCAAGATAGTTCAAGCTGTGATTTGTCATAATTGTGATGATTATGGCTTACAGCTCATGAAAACCCCAAATCCACAATCTCAGAAAATTAGAATATTGTGAAAAGGTGCAATATTCTAGGCTCAAAGTGTCCCACTCTAATCAGCTAATTAAGCTATAACACCTGCAAAGGGTTCCTGAGCCTTTAAATGGTCTCTTAGTCTGGTTCAGTAGGAATCACAATCATGGGAAAGACTGCTGACCCGACAGTTGAGCAGATAACCATCATTGACACCCTCCATAAGGAGGGAAAGCCTCAAAAGGTAATTGCAAAAGAAGTTGGATGTTCCCAAAGTGCTGTATCAAAGTACATTAATAGAAAGTTATGTGGATGGGAAAAGTGTGGAAGAAAAAGGTGCACAAGCAGCAGGGATGACCGCAGCCTGGAGAGGATTGTCAGGAAAAGGCCTTTCAAAAGTGTTGGGGACTTTCACAAGGAGTGGACTGAGGCTGGAGTCAGTACATCAAGAGCCACCACACACAGACGGATCTTGGACATGGGCTTCAAATGTCATATTCCTCTTGTCAAGCCGCTCCTGAACAACAAACAACGTCAGAAGCATCTTACCTGGGCTAAAGAAAAACAGACCTGGTCTGTTGCTCAGTGGTCCAACGTCCTCTTTTTTGATGAGATTAACTTTTGCATCTCATTTGGAAACCAAGGACCCAGAGTATGGAGGAAGAGTGGAGAGGCACACACTGCAAGATGCTTGAAGTCCAGTGTGAAGTTTCCACAGTCTGTGTTGATCTGAGGAGCCATGTCATCTGCTAGTGTTGGTCCACTGTGCTTCATTAAGTCCAGGGTCAACGCAGCCGTCTACCAGGAGATTTTGGAGCACTTCATGCTTCCTTCCACAGATGAGCTTTATGGGGATACGGACTTCATTTTCCAGCAGGACTTGGCACCTGCCCACACTGCCAAAAGCACCAAAACCTGGTTCAATGACCGTGGGATTACTGTGCTTGATTGGCTAGCAAACTCGCCTGACCTGAACCCCATAGAGAATCAAGAGAAAGATGAGAGACATGAGACCAAACAATGCAGAAGAGATGAAGGCCGCTATTGAAGCATCCTGGCCTTCCATAACACCTCAGCAGTGCCACAGGCTGATAGCTTCCATGCCACACCGCATTGAGGCAGTAATTGCTGCAAAAGGGGCCCAAACCAAGTACTGAGTACATATGCATGCTTATACTTTTCAGAGGTCCGATATTGTTCTATGTACAATCCTTGTTTTATTGATTGCATGTAATATTCTAATTTTCTGAGATTGTGGATTTAGGGTTTTCATGAGCTGTAAGCCATAATTATCACAATTATGACAAATCACGGCTTGAACTATCTTGCTTTGCATGTAATGAGTCTATCTCATGTATTAGTTTCACCTTTTAAGTTGCATTACTGAAATAAATGAACTTTTGCATGATATTCTAATTTTTCAAGTTTCACCTGTATATACTAGAATTTTTCTGTCAGTTACACTAGTAAATGCTGCAATCAGCGACTTATAGCGGGACTGCAGGACTGAGGAGGGCATTCTGACACTGGGGGGGAACTGACTAACTGTCACTGACATCCCCAGTGACACTAATACAGTGACCAGTTCTAATAAAAAGCACTGACACTGTACTAATGACATTGGGCAGGAAGGGGTTAACATCTGGGGCGATCAAATGGTTAACTGTGTGTTGTGTGTGTGTTTTTTACTGTGTAAGCATGCTGCTTTGTATTGCTCTGCTATGCTATACAAAGCAGCATGCTGGAGCTGACAGGGGAACGATCTATATTGTTTACGTACAGACCTCGTCTCAGTCAGTGTTCCTCGGTGATTACTTCTCTGGCCGGGACCCGGTGATCAACAGCTGTAGCCGCCAATGGTGTCAAGCGCCCCCTACCTGGAAATACGAAATCACAGATATATACATGATTTTGTGCAGCCCTGCCACCCTGTAGCTGTAGTTCTGCTATAGGGCGGTCAGAAAGAGGTTAATATAAGAGAGGATTTTGTTTGCGTTAGAAACAGCAGCTTGACATTGCATGCCATTATTAAGCTTGTGATCTACTAGAACCCCCAGATCCTTCTCCACCATTGATTCCCCCAGTTGTACCCCCCTAGTATGTATGATGCATGTATATTCTTAGCCCCCAAGTGCATAACCTTACATTTATCAACATTAAACCTCATTTGCCACATAGTTGCCCAATTAAACAGTGCATTGAGGTCAGCTTCTAAGTTGGACACATCCTGTAAGGACATTATTCCACTGCACAGATTGGTGTCATCTGCAAAGACTGAAACAGTATTTTTAATCCCAGACCCTATATCGTTTATAAATATAATAAAAAGTAAGGGTCCCAACACTGAACCTTGGGGTACACCACTGACAACCCCAGACCATTTATAGTATGAATCATTAAACACTACTCTCCGAATACGATCTTTTAGCCAGTTTTTCATCCATTTATATATGGATTTTTCCAAGCCTGTAGACTTTACCTTACACATTAGCCATGTATGGGAAACTGTGTCAAACGCTTTTGTAAAATCTAAGTATACCACGTCCACCGCCACCCCTCTGTCCAAGGTGTTACTCACCTCCTCATAAAAAGAAATCAGATTTGTTTGTCATCTTCTGTCTTTCATGAATCCATGTTGTCTGTTGCTTAAAATATTTTTTTCCAGCAATAACTCATCTATGTGGTCTTTTATTAAAGTCTCCATTATCTTCCCAACTATAGATGGTAAACTAACAGGTCTATAATTACTTGGTAAATATTTTGATCCCTTTTTAACAGCCTCCCGCCCGCCATATAGCAATATGACGGACGCAAAGCGGTTCTCACGTTCTGGGAGGACGTCATATGACGTCCTCCCATTCTCACCACGCATGCGCGGCTCTGGGAGCATGCAGCACAGCGATCGGCAGTACGCTGTGTCCCTCAGACACAGCGGATCACCGATCCATGGAAAAAGCCGAAGATGTCGGCTCGGTCATGTGATCAGCTGTGTCCAATCACAGCTGATTACATGTAAACAGGGAAATGCCAGTTATCGGCATTTCTCTCCCCACGAGCTGTCACGCTGACAGCTAGTGAGGAGAGGAGAGCCGGTAATCTGCATTCCTCGGAGTTGACATCTACACAGATCATCAGAGCACTGATGATCAGTGTGCCCTGATGATCTGTGTAGCCCCAGCAACGCCACCTGTCAGTGTCCATCAGTGCCAGCTCTATGCTCATCCATATCACCTGCCAGTGTCCTTCAGTGTCACATCAGTGCCACATTTCAGTGCCCATCAGTGCCACATCAATGCCGTATATCAGTGCCCATCTGAGCTGCCTTTCAGTGTCACCCATCAGTGCCAATCAGTGCCACCTATCAGTGCCAGGCAGTGCCGCCTATCAGTGTGCATCAGTGCCGCCTAACAGTGCCCGTCAGTGCTGCCTAACAGTGCCCGTCAGTGCTGCCTAACAGTGCCCGTCAGTGCTGCCTAACAGTGCCCGTCAGTGCCGCCTAACAGTGCCCGTCAGTGCCGCCTAACAGTGCCCGTCAGTGCCGCCTAACAGTGCCATATATGAGTGCTGCCTTTCAGTGCCCATCAGTGATGCCTGTCAATGCCCATCAGTGCCACCTACCAGTGCCTCCTCATCAGTGCTCATCAGTGCCACCTATCAGTGTCCATCAGTGCCCATCAGTGTAGCCTCATTAGCACACATCAGTGAAGGAGAAAAATCACTTATTTACAAAATTTTATAACAAAAACTAAGAAAAAACTTTTTTTTTTCAAAATCTTCAGTGGTTTTTGGTTCGTTTAAAAAAAAAAATAAAAAACCCAGAGGTGATTAAATACCACCAAAATAAAGCTCTATCTGTCACTAAAAAATGATAAAAATTTCATATGGGTACAGTGTTGCATGACCGCGCAATTGTCATTCAAAGTGCGACAGCGCTGATAGCTGGAAATTGGCCTGAGCAGGAAGGGGGTATAAGTGCCCTCTAGGCTAGTGGTTAAATATAGGCACCACATTGTCCTTACCCCAATCCAGTGGTACTATGCCAGTCATTAAAGAGTCCCTAAAAATTAGAAAAAATGGCTTTGAAATGACAAAGTTCAATTCTTTAAGGACCCGTGGATATATGCCATCTGGTCCAGGTGCTTTATTCACCTTTATTCTGTCTAAATATTTATGGATCATATAAAATTGTGAGCTAATGTGGATCATTTGGGGCTGTGTCAATACCATGCCCATTATGGACAAGAGCTCCCCCATGCTCCTTTGTATACACCGAGCTGAAGAAGGTATTTAATAAAGTTGCCTTCTCTTTGTCCCCAGTCACCCACTCTAGATTATTTTGTAAAGGGCCTACATACTCGGACCGAACCTTTTTACTATTAATATATTTGAAGAATTTTTGGGGGTTTGTCCTGCTATCATTTGCAATCTGTCGTTCGTTTTCAATTTTTGCGGCCTTGATTTCCTTTTTACATATTCTGTTATATTCTTTGAAATGTTTAAACGATGATAGCGTTCCTTCATTTTTATATTCAATAAAAGCTCTTTTCTTATTATTTATAGCTTTTTTAACTATGGCCGTAAGCCACATAGGTTTGATTTTTAGCCTTTTAAACTTGTTGCCCATGGGAATATATTTTGCAGTGTGTTCACATACAGTCTTTTTGAAGAACTCCAATTTCTGTGTTGTGTTCATTGATGCCAATATTCCCTCCCAGTCTAAGTCTTGGAGAGCAACTCTCAGCCTTGGAAAATTAGCTTCCTTAAAGTTGAGCATGTTTATTTTCCCCTTATGTGCTTCCTATTCACAGCTAACAATAAATGAAATCAAGATATGGTCACTGTTACCCAGATGTTCTTTTATATGGACATTAGTAAGCTCTGCATGGTTTGAGATTACCAGTCCAGCAGAGCATCATTCCTAGTTGGGGCCTCTATGAACTGTACCATAATATTGTCCTGTAGTAGGTTTATACATTTCTGCCCTTTAACTGTTCCTGCAGTACCATTACTCCAGTCAATTTCTGGATAGTTAAAATCCCCCATTATTATTATAGCTCTTTCGATCTGTGCAAGGAGCTGAGTCTCCACCTCCTCATTAACACTGGGAGGCCTGTAGCACACTCCAATGATCACCTTTGTAGTACGCACCCCCATGTGCAGTTCCACCCATAATGCTTCACCCTCATCACACTGTCCATCAACTAGGTCCTCTTTCACACTCACTCTGAGATCACTTCTCACATAGAGACAGACACCACCACCTTTCTTTTTTACTCTGTCTCTCCAAAAGAGAACATAGCCAGGAATATTAATGGCCCAGTCATGTGAAGAATGAAGCCAAGATTCAGCAATACCAATTAAATCATAGTTCTCTTCATGTACCAAATCTTCCAACTCACCTATTTTACTTGGCAGACTTCTGGCATTGGTGAACAAACACTATAATTCATTGACACCGTGTGCACATGTATTTTGCGTATTTTTTTATTTTCGTACTAATTCCAATGGTTGTTTGTAACATGGGAACCTTCTTATTACCTGCCATAGCCCTTCCTCTATCTTTCCCAATTCCACCCACCAATAAGGAGTGACCCCTGTCTGATCTGTCTGCCCAATATAATCTAATTCTCCCTCCCCCCTTGATCCTGGTTTAAATACTCCTCCAGCCGTCCCATAAACCTCTCCCCCAGCACAGCAGAAACCCTTCCATTTAGGTGCAAATCATCTCTAGCATATTGAGGCAGGAAGGGCACCATGGAGTCTATCAGTTTCGAGATCATCTTGAAGATCTCTTTCAAGAATTGCTGAGCCAGTGAGCAGGTACACCGTACAGTATGTGGTAGAAGGTTTTCATTTGACCACAACCTCTAAAACAGCAGTGAGTACCCAGGCATGCAGGGGAAGGAAAGGTGAGTATTGTTGCAAAAGTTGCTTTTTATTTTATCTTTTAAAGGATTAATTTTATTATTTGTGAGTGGACTTCTGCTTAAATTTTTTTCATTCTAGAGGAGTTAAATCTTTTTGAGAAAGGAAAGCACATTCTGGGGGAATCCATAAAGAGTGTTATAGACATACTTTAGAATTCTATCAAGGCACAGCATCAAGATGGGCGGTGCTTGTGCCCAATTCATCTACATGTCACAAACAGGTACATGGATATGTCTGAGGTCAGAGTGTCCATACCGGACTGTCCTTCTCAGCACTCACCCTCTCTCACTGTAATTGACACATAATAAGTTCTGTATTAGGAGTGGGTGGAGCCTGATGGGGAACTGAGAGACTAGTTCTCCATCAGGTCCACTTTACTTTTAATTGACAGCGCACAGCAGTGGGCAAATCAATCACTGCTATTCAGATCAATAGCAGCTTTTGCATTCACCCATTGCTGTATGCTGTCAAGCATCGGTAACATGGACCTGATGGAGAACTAGATTCCCATCAGGCTCCACCCATCCAACAAGCACAGAAGCTGTGAATGTGAGCTGTTGGGTGGGAGGAGTCTGATGGGAATCTCTGAGACTAGTTCCCTATCAGGTTTGCCCTGCCTATGATTGACAGTGAATGGCAATGGGCAGATTCCAAAGCCACTACTGGACTGACTAGCTAGTACGGAATTCAGCCACTGCCATCAACTGTCAATCACGGGCAAGGCAGGTCTTATAGGGAACTAGTCTCTCAGAGTAGCCCATTGTGACCTACATTACTGGTTGCTAGGACGCCAGTGGCCTTCATCCTAGCAACCAATTAAGTAAATGTAAAGCACATTCAATTTTTTTTAATAAAGTAAATACATACAACACCCCTACCTCTGTGTGCCAACTTTAAGTTGGTATTAGCCTTGGTTCACACTAGTGCAATTTCAGATGCATCTTGAGTAACATAGAATCACATGACAGTGCAAATCACATTGTTTTCTCAATGGTGCCCGTTCACTTTAATGCATGGAGTGATTTTGAAAAAGGGTCCCGTACTATTTTGATGCAATTCCAGAACAATTATGGCCCCACAGAATATGCCAACCACTTCACAGTACAATCAAAGTAGCATACAAGTTGCATCACATAATTGCACCGAAAGTTGGATCAAGATCTGATCACAGCAGTGTGAACCTAGCTTTAAAGTGGAACATCAGTCAAAATTAAGCCCTGCTAGATCACGTCCAGCCTTTTGCAGGTATAGCTATGTAAAACATTAAAAATAAGTGCCTATACTATTTAAAATCCAGTAATACATGGTCTCATCCTCTTCTGCACATGCTCAGTTGCTCTTTATTTTTCGGTACTGTGCCAAATTTGTAGAGGGCAATCTGCTGACAGCCTAAAGATTTACTGCTGCTCAGTGGTTCTGGGCTTCAGCAGAATGGCAGCCTCCAGCAAGAAGAAACAATACTGGAGGCAATTTACAGCACACACTAATTTTGGTAGCATAATTAATAATGTGGAATATATGTTCCTTGCCAAAGAAAATTATTTTTATCAAGTTGTTATGGGCAAAGTTCCACTTTAATTACTTCTAGTTTACTGCCGGTTACCTGTGAATTATCAGTAATTCTTTTAGAATCTGTCGCAGCTATAGTGATATATGCTAAAAGTGTCAGTAGTAAAAACTTCCTGAATCTAGTTCAAGTGTTGGTGCTTTTACTAAAACTGTCACAAGGCGTTTATGTATTAGTCACAGGCCATGCCAAAGGGGCCATACCTCCAGAAAAGAGACAATAATTTCATGAGAGTCACTAGTTTCTCTAGATTTTTCACACTTCCAATGATTATATAATATTTGAGAAATCTTTTCTTCTCACTGTGCACACCTGTGACATGATGCCGATGACTTCTGTGAAAATAACACAGATGTCTTTTCAGACCCAGAAAATACTGATGGGGTCCATTCTTTGATTTTAAACCCCCTCTAAAGGTAATTTTGTGCCTTTTGAATGGATTTGGAGGCAAACAGCAGAATTTTTTTTAAGAACAAGTAAACTTTCAAACAACTAGCCAATTGCTCCTCTCTTTATTCTTTATCAAAACTACTGTATATACCACAACACAGAGCTCAGATAAAACAATTATTTCCATCTAAGTGCTGTGAGGCCACCTGTATAATCATCTGATCGGTGTGCTTTATCAATGTTATATGCAGCTCTTCTTTTTATACCAATCCATTCTGTGCCCCCAGAATTACACCATGTTTTGTGGGCTTTGTGTCCATGGCCACACTAAACTCTATTTAGTATACACAAGAATTCTGATGGAAGCTGTTAGAACATGTATCTGTTATTTGTATTGCTGTGCATTAACCTATATTGCAGGGTGCAAACCAACTACAGTTCACTGAGGTTGCATATTTTTATCTATTGAGGTTCATTCAATTCAGAAAATAACAAAACTAAATAGAAAGTTAACATGGTTCAGATAAACACTAATGTACAATATATAAGTACTTATTGCCAGTGTATACTTTTGGCGAAAAATTAACAGTTTTGCTGTCAGTGATGTTTTTCTGACCTGGAAACTCTAATCTTTACTTACTGACTTGCTTAGATGAAATTTGTCTGAAAATAAAATTTA